ACAGGCGATTGTCCTGGCGACGATGTCACAACAGGCAGTAATCACCGGAAAAGGGTGACTCTGTTTGGCACAGAGCACTCGCCTTGTCTTCTCCTCTCTCCTCCTTTTGCTTGTTGTGAGAGAGGAGCATTCATGGCAAGGAGGAATCTAATTTTGATTTATCGCTTGGCAGGCAGTCAGTGCACCAGTCGGCTAATCGGCTCCTTCGCTGCCCGAAATTCATACGGACACACAGCACACAGTCGTTCTCTCTGGCAGTCTATCAATCAAGACAAATTGTGATTAACTAGGTGATTGTCTTTCCTTACACGCTTTGTCTACGGCTGCCTCTGCTGCCTCTAATGGATACTATTGCCATTCGGACAAATGGAGCGGTAAATGGCGGCATTATGATTGGGCTCGCTGATATCCCACCGCTGACAAGTGCCCGTCCACTGCTGGTCGTCACAGTGGCTGGTGCACCGGCGGAGAGGGCACTGGACGGCACTTGCAGTCCATCAGTCCAGTGCTCTTCACTGTCAGGCAGGTCCAATTGGATTCGATGTGCTTCACCTTTGCCGCACTGTACGGCTGTTGGCGGCAATTACCTCCATCAGTGCAGTGCTCCTCTCCTCTAATCGAATCGGGATGGATCCTTATCGCTCATTGCCCAATTGACAATTTGTAAAGAGCCAGTTAATTTATTGACATACACTGACTCACTCTCTCACACTGCACCTTTCTCTTCCACACACACACACACCATCTAATTGGAGGCATAAATCTTCAGTGGCGTTATTAATTATGGCCGTTGTTTGAGCCTCAAGACAAGCTGATAAGCGATTCTGCCTATGAGCGATACGCTAATTTGGGCAGGTTATTTATAGAGTCACACTGTGATTGACAGGGCACTACGCATTGTTTTAGCTCATCGCCGTGTCGTGCATGTTATACTTTGTATTCAGCGACAGAAAGAGTTAAGCGGATCATCATCGTTTTATTATCTACAGGTGTGTGTACCAGTGCAAGCTCTCTCTCTCTCTCTCTCTTTCTTTCTCCTTCCCTCTTCTGTCTTTGAAAGTTTGCGTGTCGAAACGCGAATTAAGTAGAGCCACGGACGATGTTGCTCAGATAAATTAGGCACATCATGCTTCGCTAGTTTGTGCTGACTACCTGCAGCAGCAGCAGCAACAGCCGAGAGTTGTCTATTTTTAACAATAACTCTCCCTTCGCTTTCGCTGGCCATTGCTGGTGTTTGTCCGAAAAGCTAGTCAAGCTTTCCCGGCTCAATCTTTCTTTGAGAAAGAAAGAAACACATGCTCACATACACACACATGCACACACCGCATTTGCCCTTTCCACCGATCCGGGCCGCTTGGCACTATCGATGTCGCCAATTGCCCGCCACTAGCTTTCACTGCGTTGTCACTGTTTCTGTTGTCCGTGTTTTTTCAGGAAAGCAATATTTGTGTCCTGAACAGAGCAATACACTGCAGTCTAATCAAGTCCTAGTGTCTTCCTCTTTCTTTTCCCCTCTTTCTCCAGTTGTTCATGTGTTTGTTGATTTCATATTATCGTTTTTGTGTAACTTTTCTCAGCTTTCATTTCTTTGCTCCTTTCTGCCGCTTTTTTGTCGATTGTTCGCCTAGTTGTAGTCGCCATCAGCACTTCTGCGCTGTAGTCATTTGCAGTTGGGCAACCAAATTCTCTCTGTTATCCATCGATCTGGCCAATGTCAGGCACGACAGCAAATATAGCCAATTGAAAAGCACGAAAAGCAAATTTGCTCACCGGCAAGGCAAACAGCAGTGTCATTAATCGGTTTCGTGCAATTCACCTCACGGTTTCCGAGTGGAATTTCAGCCACTGTTGATCGCCTTAGCCGACTGACTGAGCACTGCCAATGGCGGCAGATTTGCAGACATAAATTGTTCATTTGGTCAATCACTTGGAGGTCAGCCGCGAAACCTCTCGCTCTTTCTCCCTATCTTTTTTCCATGCTATACGCTCGCGGGGTTAGTCTTTCTCGCAAGTTTAAAGGCAGAATCAAATGACCTGTTTTAGAGGGCTAAAAAGATGTGTGAGGTTGTCAGTGTGTGAGTGAGTATGAGTGTGTGCTCTGTTTTGGAGCAGAAAGAGCAGGCCAGGCAGTTGACTTGTCATCAAACGGCCGGTTGACAAGATGCCATCGAAAAAGAGAAGAGAGGAGAGCTGCACAGTCGGTGCTCAAGTTGATCAGTTGATGCTGATGATGGTGTGCGGCTTCTGTGGCCTCCCCGACCTGCATGGCTTTGTTTACCGCTGTCACTGCCATTTCCGCAGTGTCAGAAGATGCCATGTCGATTGGCCGAGCAAATTGTTCCAGCTAGTGTTGCCTCTAATTGATTACGACCGTTGATTTTCGACAGCCAGGGAAGGGGGATCAGCTTGCTGGAAGCCAAAGTGCCCGCTAAATATAGCCACTCTGCAAAGGTGCTGTCTAATTGAAAGTTAATGTCTGCTCTACAAAACCGCTGCCGTTGCTGCAACTGCTGCTGCTGTTGCTGCTGTTGCTGCTGTTGCTGCTGCTAGCTGCCTGCGTTGAGCAATGCGTTCAAGTCAAGTTTGCCGAATGCCACTTTCTTGAACTTGAAACGCCTTTACAGCCACTGTAATTAGTACTACAGTAAGCAGCAGCAGCTAATGCCGATCTGCCGCTGTTGCAATCAATTGGCTTGTGTCGCTGTGACTGCTAGATCTTGAGACCTTTTTGCCACTTACTTTAGCACTTCGTTGTTTACCACTTTGGCTGGTGAATCCCGCGTCGCTCGGTATCCCCCTTTCTTGCTGCCTGCTGACTGATTTGTCCGGGTTGGCAATTAGTGCCCATTACCGGGGCATTGTATTTATAGCACCATGAAAAGAGTACTGCGCCAGCACCAGCGCCAGCACTAGCAGCAGCAGCATCAGCAGCATCATCAGCCTGCCTCATGTGTTCGGTTGCTCATTAGCTCGATGCAGATCAAATGCCTTCTCTCTGTTGTTCTCTTGGAGTGAGTATGTGAGAGAGTGCTGGGGCTTTGTTCTCCTGCCACCGCTGATTGTCTTGACGTGAATAATTGTGTCTACATGTGTGCCAAATATAATCGACTTATTAATTAGTGTTCATTTGTTTCCACTCTCAGTGCACTCTCATTGTCTGTGGGGCAGCATCACATTGCAGTTGTGGCTTTTGTCGGCAGACAAACGGCGCTGGTGGTTGGTTACAACAGTGGTCAGTGCAAGTGGCATCACATCTCTGCTGATTTCTTTCTCCGATTGAACGTGCCACTCTGTCAAGTAGTCAGTCAGTCAGTTATTTGGTCGGTTAGTCGGCCGGTGTTACAGTGTTACTTCTTTTTTGCTACATGCTTCATTAGAGCGGAATCCAATTTGCTGTTTGTCTTGTCCACTACAAACCACCGTGTGCTGCCAGTGAGCGCTCTCACTCACCGCTGACTGATGCTCGCTGGCTTGTCGTCGTCATCGTCGTTGTCGTTCAGTTCGTTTGCTGCTGCTGCTGTCCGAACTGGACATTTGTCTGTAAATGAATAAAAGATGATGTGCCCAATAAAAGGGCACCTTTGTCAAGATGTAGATATTTTTGCTTTGACACCAATGCATGCATTGCCTGGCGCTGGTGTGTGTTCACTCTTGTCTTTTGTGTGTCGGTTTGTGTGCAGTCCTTTTCCTTGTGCACACACACACACAAACTGGCACTCATCTCTGTGGTGCATTCTCCATTTATTTCCTCTGCTGTTTCCTTGGCTGCTTCCCCTTCCCCTTACTTCATCAGTGCCATCTTCGTTAGCTTCGTCTGCTTTCACCTCCCCGCTGTATCCTCCTGTTGACGCTAATCCGAGCGCATATATCTTTCTCAAATGGTTACATTTGCGAATTGACGCTCAAATGCGAACCAAGGCAAAAGTGGTAGTGTGCACTGGTGGAGCACTGCTTTGACAGCTCGTGTGCACTCTACCACACTTTGTGATCTTCTCTACCTTTCGCAGATGCTAGAGTGCACACGCTGAGCTTTGCGAATTATATAAATAGAATGCAGTGCTGCAGAATAAAGCGGATAATCTGATTACTTGTCCTGGCTCCATTTGCATTGATTGCCACTGCTTCAATCACTTCCACGAGATGTGCCACTCACTGCCTTCAAGTCGTCATTCGGTGCTCTGCTGTCTCTTGTCTATAGGCGGTATTTATAGCTGTCCAGCTGAATGCCTGATTTATTAGATCGATCGATACTGTGTGGTAGTGTAAGGTACGGCTCACTCTTGCTGCAACTCCTTTCGCGCGGCTGAGCTTCATCAGAGAGGAGAGTGCATACACACACACGGCGATGTCATTAGTAAATTGATAGCATTGACAAACATCAGCTGGAAAGATTGTTGTGCAAAGAGTGTCGGCACTCCTCAATGTGCTTTGACGGCCGCGGCGGCGCTAACAGGCGCCAAGCGTCGGCCAGGCAAAGGCAAAAGAAGTGAATGGCTTTAGGAAAATGAAATGAAGTGTGCAAGTCGGAGAAGAAAGAAAAAGAAACAGTGGAAAGTACTGACAGTTGCCACTGCTGCTAATGGTCAGCAAGTGTCTGTGTCTGTGTGTGTGTGCTTTGGCGAGATTATCGATTTACCGTCAATTTGTCAATATTGACAACAGGTGGCCACTACTGAACGGAATGAACTAGCAGCTAGTTTCCTTTGGTTTACTCGGGTGTTTGTTGCAGCAGTCGTTCCATTGATCCACTGACCGATTGATTCACCAGTGTCATTTGGCGTTGGCTTAATTTATCTTCTTCCCCTGTCTGTAGTACAGTGGCCAATAACAATACCGGAGATCTAATGTGCTTCTTTTTTTCTTCTTCCTTCCTTTCTTCCCCTTTAGATAAGCGTCATCCTGTAGGAACAAGCTCTCACAAAGTAAGTAACCGCATTGTGTCCCATTGTCTGTAGTCGCTTAAATAGGGTCAAGCTAACGGTGTCTTTCTAATTGACTAGATGTTTACCTCTCTGGGGATTGTTCTCTTCCACGCCCTCGACTATGGCCTTTGCGAAGATGAGGAGCGATCACTGGGCAAGCCGCTGGAGTTGCTCATTGAAAGGCTCACCAGTGCGCATGAAATTGCCCGTCGTCGGCAGCGGAAAAAGTCGAGGTCAAGCAATCACGAGGCGCATCATCAGGACATGCACTCACTGGGGTCGTTCTACGACGATGACCACCTGGACGATGATGAGGTGGACGAGGAGGACGAGGACGAGTGCGCCAACGCTGATGAGGGCATCGAGCGGGACTGTCACGAGGATGGCGACAGTCCGAGCTCGTCGGCGCAAACCAGTCAGCTAGTCGACTTTGATCATATTCTACAGGTATGTCTGCCTATTCTTCCCAACTCTTTTTGTACCTAATGATGCTAATGAATGCTGTCTTTCAATTACCCTTTTCTGCAGATGTGCGTCTCTCGGCTCTCCAGTCGCGAGTCTGCTGACAGCCACTACAAGGCAGTCTGTCGGGCGCTGATCGCCGAAACACTCGAGCTATCGACTTTTCTCGATCAGATTGCCAAAGGAACCAAAGTAAGCTGCCTAATTTTGACTTGTTTATACTCACAATCTAATAAATGCTTTTCTTTCTTATCTTTAGGAATTACGAAAGTCATCTTCTGTTGTCATTGGATCTTCAAACAGTTCTGGGAACGAGTCAGAAGCAACCTTGGAGAAGCTGCAGTTTCATGACTGGGCTCGACTGTGGATTCAAGTCATTCGGGAGCTGGTACGGTTGTGTTGTACTGTACAAATGTGCGCTCTTTGACTAACAATTTTTTTATCTTTTCCATTCCACCTTTAGCGATACGGCGTGAAACTTAAAAAAGTTGACACAGAAGATTTAATACACAACACCGAATACGAACTGACTCCTTATGAGGTAACGTGGAAACAGCGACAACAAGCTCGCAGAGCAAGGGACACAGGTAATTTACGGTCTGCTTTCGGACAGATGCTACTCGACGACATTCGCTCGCGCCGGTACAAACTCAACAAAGTGATGATCAACGGCGGCCTGCCACTTCGACTGAAGAAGGATGCCCATGAGCTGATGTAAGTGCTTCACTTTTTTGTTTTGTTTTCTCAACACTGCCAAACTAAACATAACATTTTATAACTTTGCACAGTCTCGACTTTATCCGCTCCCGACCGCCGCTGGTGCCCGTCTCGAAGCGCGTCCTCAAGCCACCGCCACCGAAAGAGGTGACCTTGTACGAGCGTCTGATGGACTCCATTCGACAGGAGCACAAGCTGCGGCCCACTCCCAGGCCAGAGACCACCTTTCACTCACTCTCCGCCAATACGACACCACTTCCTCGTCACCGGTCCGGTAAGTGTGTACAATCTTGATGAATCCATTATTATACACTGCAAAGCGTGTTTACAAGTCATTGTCGTAGTGTGTGACAAGTGTGTAAGGCAGACTGCCATCAGCAGCAGCATCCTAAAATGGTCAAATTAGGAACTTCAATGAAGTAGAGTAATGATTAGCAAACAGTGATACAATTATCAAGTGAAGAAGGTATAGCTGTCGGCTTCTAATTAAAACGCACCCGTTAACGGCCACAATGACATCGACATCGCATGCAAATGAAGTGACTCTGATGAAGCAGTAGCAGAGCAGTAGTAGTTCAATGTCTGTGTTAATGAAGTGGTAGTAGTAGACTGCTGCTCTTCACCGATGGCTTTCTTTGCCGCATCCTACGTTATCGCCTCAGTCACTTCCCCTCTGTCGCAGTCATTAATCGCTCGCTGCACCACTTCAATTGAACCTCCGATGCAAATAGAAGTGTGTGTGTGTGTTCATTGCGCCGCCGTCTTAGCCTTGAATGCCTGCTACAGGCTCAATTAAAAATGGCAATAAGTGTGTGCACGTTGGTATCGCCATAATTGGTAAGGTTGTTGAAAACGAGAGGCAGAGAAAGAGACAACAAGCACAACACTTTTCCAGACTACATGGCCAAGCGGCTGTAGCACAAACGCACTAGTGCAAATAAAAGTTTGAACACTTGTTTGTGGATCGATTTGTGTTTCGAACTGTCTAGTCGAGCTGCTGACTGCCATGGTAGGAATCATCCCTATGGCTGATTACTGGATCATCTTTCACTTGCAACTTTTAGTGCTCTTCAGTCTGAAGGTATAGTGCAGTTGTTTGAGTGATTTTGTACTTGATCGAAACTTGAACTCATCTTTGTGCAACAGTTTGTTTCACTTTTTTTTCGCCAAGTCAGCTTAAAACATCAACTGAAAATGACCATAGGTACTGCAACTGGCTGTTTGATTGTGTGCCTATTCTCATTTGTGTGAAAATACCTTTTCAAATCTACTACTGAATCACTACTGCAAAATATGGTAATGATTTTGTCTTTTATTTTCAGTGACTCTAACGACCGACGACCTACCTGCAGTGTCAAGCGGCACCACCGGTACCTCATATTCATCACATGACAGGCTGTTTAAATCAGCCAGTCAGACGGCGGCAAGGCGTAAATTGATCAAAGCAAACATCACTCTAAATCTGCCATTGGACGACGATGAGGCAGACGAAGACGAGCAGATTCAGGCACTCCACTCAGGCAGAACTGCTCGACCGATGTCTGCATACTTTGCCTCTGAAATTGCCTCTTTTGATGAGCACGACACCTCGATGAATGGCACTGGTGAAGAGCCGAATTGTGAGGAGAAAAAAGAAGACAAAGAGGAGGCCAAAGAAGGAGCTTCAAAGGAGGCAGCAGAAGATCAAGTGGACGGCGACGACAAAGAGAACAATTCTAAAGCGCGAATTCTCCAGCTTAAGCGATGTAAGCTTTATTTTTTGTTTTCTCAATCCACCAAACTAAATAACAAGTTTACTTTGCAGTCTCTACAAAGCTCTTCTCTCGTGAAAGGCGTCACTCAATTAGCGGCCTTGATACCAAATCGTTGAAGCTACACAACAACGCTCCATCGGACATTATTGAGAATCTAAACTTTGAAGAGGATTCACGGAACTTAGTGGCCACTATTTGGGAAAGCACCGAGCTGGGCAAGTCGCTAGAGTGCCTTTCATTGACGCTCAAAGAGGTGCAACACATTCGATCGGTGCTAACAAAGGCGGAAATTGAGTCTCTTGGTGTGACTAAATCGCTGAAAACTGATTTAGAAAACGGCAAAATTTGCTTTACTTGCTTGAAGACTCGTTTTACCTTCTGGGGTCCCTGGGCGACCGTTTGTAAGCTTTGCAATCGCTCCATTTGCGATAGGTGAGTAGAACTGAACACTGTTTTTTGTACCTTCATTAACATGACTGATGTCTGTTATTTCAGGTGCGCTACAAAGATGCACATCCCCACTGAGCAGTTTGAGCGAGTGCCCATATACTGCCTCTCTCCAAGTCCGTCGCCGCCAAATGAGAAAACCACCGCTGAGCTGTTCAACTGGCCAAAGTTGGATGCCAGTTGTGAGAACCACAAGGACGCAACGTCCGAGTCGGAGAATGAGGGTGAATCAAAGTCACTACCGCCCAAAATCAACTTTTCTCGCAACCGAATGTCTCGCATTGTGCGCATGCTGACGCTGCACAATGAAAGTCACACCATCAACGAGAACAGCAACCCGAAGAACTCGGGACCTCTAGTCAAGATTTGTCGCGATTGTAAAATTCTGCTTCGCCACCTGATTGACGTCGGATGTGCGTCCATTCAGTCGGGTGGTCAGACCACCAACAAGCAGTAGTCTGCTCTGACATTGGGCAAGGCAGTTGTTCCCTTCCTATGCAGACTGTCTCTCTTTCTCTTTTTCCTCAAGAATGTCTTCTATGTTGACCTGTGATACTACCAGTTATGCAACTTAAATATTTATTTTAAACTTATAATTTATTTTCCCCTCTCACTCAACTTGGGCCGAGACCACCTCCTTATTCACATCCACTGAATGTTGTTGCTGTTCTTGTTGACACTGTTTACCAATTTGCACCAAGCTGGCCTCTAAAGTTCCATTCAACATGTCGTCTGACTGCTTGCCAAAATCAACGGCATCACCTCGCACACTTCTCAACCTGCACCAGTCCTTTTCCCTTTTCTTTTTATTCTTCATTTTCACTTTTTTCCTTTTCTCCTCATTTGGACCAATATTTATTTTTGCACTTTCAAATAGCATGAAATGTTTTGCTTTGGAATGTTGCGATTCAACACTACCTCCACCACTGACGATTTTAGCGTTTGTGCACACTTTTCTTGTCAATTGTATATTAACAAATTTTGGTGAGTGCCAATAAAGCTTCACTCTACAACATCCACTGGTTTTTTCGGTGTTGCCAATGTTCAGTTTTTTCAGCCTCTACATTCTACGAAGCTGTTGTTCAGTTGATAATGCAAGCACTAGTAGTGATAGTGCAGCCTGGCAAGTTTTGTTTTTTCGTAGGCGCACTTTGGCAACTCTGGCAACAAATGTGCTGGCTCGTCTCCGGAGCAGCGAATGAGCATTGCACCAAACAAATGAGCCGTCCACCGGCCTTGTCGCCTGCATCGCTCGTTATCTGTTCGCAAGTGCCTGGTGCACGACAGGGAGATGAACTCGCTGTCAAGCGACGAGCCAGTGCTCTTGCAGCAGCCACTGGACTGGGCTGCGAAGATGAGTCAGCGACAGTTGAGCGGCAGTGTAGCAACAAGTGTGCGCTTCGGGCGTCAAATGTCGGCCTCTGTGAGCAGTGCTGATACAGTGCGCAGGCCATTATGATGATATGGCCGACGATTACCCGTCTCTGTGTCTGTCTGTCTACTGCCTTAATCTGCTGAAAAAGTCCATAAGTCTCTCATTCTCTATCTCTGCCCAACAATTCAGCGAAGCATACTACCACCACCGCCGCCGTCGTTGCGGCAAAGTTAGCTTTCACTGGCAGACACTGACAGAATGCAATGCAGACAGTAGAGCCGGTGGTTGCAGTCAGTGGTCGTGGTGGTGGTGGTGGTCGTCAGTAGTCTCCTCGACCAGTGCTTCTCCTCGCCTCTTCATCCCCTGCTTCTGCATCTGCAGTGTGTGTGTGTGTCTGGTCGGTTTGACAATTGCATTTGCCGCGCTTTCTCCGCTGCCTCAGTGTCTACTACTAGGTGTGGTCGCTAGTTGTTGCTGCAACTTGCGCCCAGGCTATCCCTCGCTCTCCACTGCGGCAGCATCACTCGTGATTTGTCCACCGACGCGTCAACCCATTCTTCCCACTGACAAAACGTACGCTACCCATCGCCTCAGTAGACTTGTAGACTCCATTCTCTAACTCATTCTCCCATTGAACTTGCAGAATCGACACTTGTCACCCACCAGTTCAGCCAACAATCGCCGGCCAAGGTATGTCTGGCAACTGTCATGCTTCTTAGCAATTCCCAATTGTTTCGTATCAACTTTCAATTGCATTTTACCGGCACTTCTTGCCAAAAACTGCAAACTGTTTAGTCTTTTACTTTTTATCTTTAATTTGCTAGAAACCAGCACTAATGTCATTTGAGCATAAACATTTGCTGTAGAATATTCCAATGCTTGCGGCCAAATACGGTGCTGTAAACAGATTGCTATCTTAGTCATCTCGCTGTCTCTATCACCGTTTAAATAGCAGTAGCTTCTAAATGCCTTTTCCCTCTTATTAAATGCTTTCATTTATTCGCCTCGCAGCATTGCAATTAAGCTGGAAGTCATTAGCTGGTGCCGTGTGTTCAGAGGAAATGCTTTCAATGTATTCAAATATGGCAGATGTCAGTAGTATAGCAGTATAGCAGTGACTCATTACGGTGCACAGCACTGACAACACACTGGTCTCCACTTTCAGTTTGATTGCCACAATGCCATCTGCCGCTGCTGCGAATGGCCCACCAAGTGGCGTCAGGTGTGTTCACATTTCACTGGCATTGTGTGCACGTTGGGGTGTCCAGCAGCAGCAGTTTTCAGCGTTTAGGTAGCTTTGCAATTAATGAAAGCCCTTCTTGCTCTGACTCAGAGGTCCATTGTAAATAGTTCACAGTTCAGCAATGGTAGTAGCCACGTTCAATGCTCAGCACTTGTTTGCAGATGTTTTAATTGTTTTAATGATGTAGATTAGCGCTTTCGGTAATTAGCCTATCTAGCATTAGTAGTCGTTGAGAGCATTCTCTTTCACTGATCCGTGCCAGTGCTGCTGCTGCTGGGAATAATGTCTATGCCCGTGCTCGTGCTCTTTAGCTCCTAATGTCTGTCAAATAGTTGTCAGTGCCCGGTTCAGTGCATGCTTCGCTGGTTGGCCATGGCAAAGTTGATGATAGACTTTGCCGCCATTTGCTCTTTCTATCTCTGCTTAACAAAGCGTCAAATGCCTTATCGTCTATTATACCTTTTGTTTCGTTTCATTCAAGATGTCTACCCCGACCAAGGAAGAACTTCCTCGTATTGCCGACACTCTGAAGAGTGAGCTTGTGGGCGAGCACAAGCTGAAGCACACCGTCACAGAGGAAAAGGTGGTGCTTCCCTCCAAAACTGGTACGTAACCACTGTCTCTTTTTTCTCTTTCTTGTTCACTCTCCCACTTTTTTTCTCCCCTTCTGTCTGACTGTACGGTGGAAATCGACCAAGTCGATCTGCAGAATGTGCACTAGCTTGTCGGTGTTGTTGACTCTGTCTGGCATCCGGCAGTGGCCATTTCTAATCAGCCACCAGACGATGGCACTGCAGCGAGCATTGCGCAGCGTCCAGGCACCCCGCTCGATTGACATGTTTGTCTGTGTCGATAAAAGCTGTGTGATATCTGCTGTTGCTGTTGCTGTTGCTGCAGTTGTTATTGCCTGTGGAACACCTAAGCAGCTGCAAGCCTGACAGATGGAAGCCACTTTCAGTTGAATGCTGTAATCGCCGTACTGTGTGCTAGCTAAGCACTAGTGTACACGTGCATTGACAGGCACTGACAAGCAAATGATCGCAACGTTGCGCCACATCGAACTGATTAAGTCATTTGCATGTATTTACTGTTTAGTGTTTACAGCGGCGCTGGTCAGGGACAACGCTGTTTAGGGGAGAGAGAGGGAGGTGATAATCTTTATTTGCAATGCTCTCTGACTAATTGATAAAGCTTGCTAGTTAGTTTCACTGATTGTTGCCCACAAGAGAGAGTAGTTGTTGCCTTAGATGCTGATTTTAACGCCGGTGGCGCTGGTTTTCTCACCCACTCACTTTATGTATTTACATTGATTTTTTCTGTTTATATTACAGAGATCGATCAGGAGAAGGGTCAACAGGAGTTGCTGAAGAGCATTGAGACCTTTTCTCCGGAGAAGCTGAACCCGACCAGCACCGAGGAGAAGAACCCTCTGCCAACCAAAGAGGTGATTGACGCCGAGAAGCAGGCTCAGGCCTAAGAAATGGCCCCGCAATCTCTCCTGAAACCTTTTGCCAACTATTTTTGATTAATTTTTGTCAATATTCTATATTTTTCCAAAAATAACTATTTCATTAACTTCTTTTTCTTACATTTTGTTTTTTTAAATGATCTAACAAGAGGTGTTATGTTTGCAGTTCAATCTATAACTGAGTAAATAAAGCGCTTTCTGGTTGGCGAATCTGGTCGTCTTATATTTTATAATGTGGCACTCGCCAAATAGGTAATAAATAGAACAAAAGAAATAATAAATAGTAGAGAAGAAAAAGAAGAAGAGTATATACAGAGGGTGGTGCTCTAGTCGACACTGCAAGAAGAAGCTCAAGAAGGTGCCTTGGCAGTGACCTCTCTGCTGTCGTCTTTGGCTGGTCTGCTATTTTGATGCTGCTGCTTATTTCCAGATTCTTCAGCAAGCGGTGCTGAGTTCTGCTGATGCCTTTCTTTGGACTCTGATGATGATGATGCTGATGACGAGGGTAGCCTTTCTCTTTCCCGATCTCGATCTCGGTCTCTTTCCTGATCCCTTTCTCGATCTCTTTCTCTGTCTCTGTCTCTGTCTCTTTCCCGGTCTCTCTCCCTGTCCCGATCTCGATCTCGGTCCCTCTCCGTTTCATCTCTGGGCGATGGCCGCCAGTATGAGTAGTCGTGTCTCGGTTCCGGAGTTGTACTCTCAATGTAAAGCTCGTTATTGCGGACGTAGTGCTTCTCCGAGTTGCCGCAGTCGACGGTGTTGATGAATCGACAGGTGAAAGTGGTCTGGTCAAAAAGGGTGTAGTTCGGACAGAGAAAGTCATATCGCTGGTGGCCCACTGCGCAGTGGTGGTACACCTGGCAGCTAAGCTCTATGTTGGCGTAGTAGCCATCGTGACGGCCTTTGCAGTCAAAGTTGTTCTCCGGAATGGAAATGTAAAAGGGATAATTGGTGAGATCGGCCCCCTTCAGTTCGTAGGGAAAGTTCGGGTCGGCGTTGTAGTCGATGATGCGGCCATCTGGCCTGGGTTTGTAATTGGGCGACAAAGTGGTCGTCGTCGTAGTGGTCGGTGGCTCTGTTGGCCGCTGTTGAAACTGCCGCCGGTTCTCCCCACCTCGACCTCGACCTCGACCACGTCCTCCTCGACCCCGTCCTCCTCTACCCCTTCCTCTGCCTCTGCCTCGTGGTCTCTGTGTAGTGGTAGTGGTGGACGTCGTTGCCTGGTAATCGTAATCATCGTCGTACTCCTGGTCGTAGTCTGTCAACGAAAGTGTGCAACAAAGAGTAATGAGTGGTGGTGGTGGCTAATGATAATCATGATGGGCATCCGCCAGTGGTTGCCACTGCTTACCGTAATAGTCACCGTCCTCCTCATCCAGCGGAGGCTCAGTGGTGGTGGTCGTTGTGGTGCTCGTCGTCGTCGTACTGCGATGCCTCTTTCGACCTCGTCCCCCTCGTCTGCCGCCTTTAGGGCCTGATCGAGGGCGGTCAGCGGCATCCGTCTCCGCCGGTAGCCCCTCGGCGTTGTCTGCCTCCCCGCCGGTGATTGCATTGTTCACCGGAGCAGCGCTGGTCACTTCGCTCCAGGCTGTCTGGGGTGGACTGGGTGTCCGAGGTGTGATGCTCCTACTGAATGGGTTTGGCTTTGCACTGCGCTGTGCGTACGGCGTTCTCACTGACACTGGGCGAGGACGATAGTTTGGCTTGCTGGTGCTTGTTGAAACCACTGGAGCTGGCTCATCCTCATACGACTCGGGTTCAGGCAGTTCAGGCCTAGAAGTTGTCGTTGTGGTGGTAGTGGTGGTTGTTGTTGTTGTGGTTGTTGTAGTTGAAGTTGTGGTTGCCACCGTCTGTGGCACAGAGTGCACCGGAGCACTCTGAGTGAGTGGAGCCACGTTAGCAAGTCTAGTTCGAATTGTCTGCTGGGGAATGCGAACGTAGGTAGGCTGCTGAGGTGGTAATTGCTGGGCAGGCTGTTCAATGTCATCCAGTAGGTGGTCAGCATTTCGACTGAAGAACTGTTGACGATTGCTCACACTAAGTTAAGGGGAGAAGAAGAAAAACAGTTTAAGCCTTTAGCAAATGTGTAGATTGATTGAAAGGGAGGATGTGCTTCCAAGATGATTCGTTGTGTTCCATAATTGTGCACACTTACCGAGGGTGGTAGGCGGCAATGATGGGTCGATACTGAGGCACTGTTCGACTGTTCGACTGGGGAGTACGTTGAAATTGAAATTGGTTCTGATTCACCGTCGGCACTGGAGGCGCGTGCTGAAAACGATTGCCAGAGCTGTCCATGCACTGCGGACAGTCATCACGGAGGCCTTCATTTTCTAACGCCAGGAATGTTAGCAGAACTGAAAGGGGAAAAAAGAAAGAAAAAGCAGTGAGCGTGAGAAGGAATGCCGGCTGGTGATGTAGCAGTGTAAAGAGTGATGCCTGCTGAAGTACCAGTAGCACCCGAAGCACCACCATCATCAAAGAAGTGTACACCTACAGTAGACCAGTAAGAGTGCTCTCATCTTGCCGTCTTTCTGGTGACGGGCGAACAGCTGCTGCCGGATGCTGCCAAGTTGCTAGAACTCGACTTTGAGCGGCGTGTTCTCTTCATGCACTCTGCCGCTTCGATGCAGTACACATGCACAGCGTCAGTTTAAAGGCGCATGAGGCCGCCGGACGCAATGGGTCAGTGGAGTGCGAGGAGCTGATGTGAACGGAGTGGAGTGAAGCTGAAGTGTAGTGAAGTGCTGCCTGCTCAGCTCTGTCTGCCTGTCTCCCCAGTCAGTGAGTACCTCTTCTTCTTCTCTTCCGAAGTCAGCAAATTGGCCAGGTGTCAGTCAGCCAGTCTGTGGGCACTGGAACAGGATGGCGTAATCTTGCCAGTGGCTGCTGCTGCTGCTGCTGGGAAGTGCTGCTGGCGAAGTAAGTGCACTGCAGTGGGTGCCCTGTCTTAGTTGGCAGTTGCTGGGCCTGTCGGCCGTCTCAGTGTCTGTCTTTCTCTGTCTGTTTGTCAGCGCCTGTGACGATCGATGCCTGAAGAACATCGAGCAGTCCTGCAGTCGCCGAAATCGAATCTTTTTCGTGTGTTTGTAGCTCCTTCTACTTCTTCTTCTTCTTCTTCTTCCACTACTTCTCTTCCACTCTCTGATTTGTCGATCGGCGGCACGACTCTCTGCGCTTGCTTTTGCTTGCTCACTTGCACTACTACTCTTACTACTTTGGCTTGCTTACTCTTCACTTCTTCACTTTTCTTCTCTTCTCTCCAATTCATCGTTGCAACGTTCTGCTGACCCACATCGCCCGTTTACTTTTTTATCTGCTCCCTCTGGAAGCCAGCAAGTGTCTCGACTCTCGACGGTGAAGTAACCTGTCCTGGCTGACAGCTTTAGCAGTGTGGCAGTGCGCCCGTGTCCGCTAAGACAACCAATGCTAATACTGCCGCTGCTTCAGCTGTGCAGTGCCATTACGAACAACAATTTATAGACTCACTTTCTTATTCTTCACATACTCGTTTTCGCTCTTAAAAATTATCCAACTTTGAATCTAATCACTGCACAAGGAGGCGAGATCTCGCTGGCGCCACACAGTGTTCCCTTCATTGCTCCCACCGCCAGCGGAGAGGTTGCTATTACCGCTAGTTGGCCCTCTTGATTTCGCTAACAAGGCTCGCACACAAAGTGAGANGAGAGAGAGGAGAGAGAGAGAGGAGAGAGAGAGAGAGAGAGAGAGAGAGAGAGAGAGAGAGAGAGAGAGAGAGAGATTGGCTAGGCTGGTCGTGGTGCACACTCCTGATTGTCTGGTCGCTAAATATAAAGTGCAGTCCACGAAGCTAGCGACGGCCACACAGTCAGGGAGACAATCCATTTCAATTCAACAGCTTGCCGCTGTTTACTGATCACCGATCACTGATCAGTGGCACACGATCTACATAAGCGGCAGCCATTTGCACGTTCACACAGACACATGGGCACATGTGTCATTCTGACTGATGAATGCAAATGACCACTGTCACGTCGCACAGTGACAATTGCAATTGTTGTCTGCGATTAGGAAGGTCGTCATTTGCTCTCGAGTAGGAAGGCAACAAATTTGTCACTGCCTGTTCGTCGCCCAATTGTGTGCTCTTTTGCTCCCTCGATTGATTCACTTCCACTGGCCACTGTTATCGACTTCCAATAGAACAACTAGTCTTTTAGTGCTTTTATTGCGGTAGTTGTCGATCTGATCGTGCACAGTGTGAAAGTGCTCTCCACTACCACTCACACACTGACATGACACTCACGACGAGCAATCATTAGGTCTTTTGCACCATGGCGTAATGCTGAAGACTGAAGACAGCTGCGACAAACCGAGGGGAAAAGAGAGAGAGTGAGCAAGTGAATTGCTCCTCTGACATTGACTGTACTCACTGATGGACTATCTGATTGACTGCTGCAGACGGCAGAGTGGTGGCGGTGGTGGTGGTGCCAGCAGTTATACTGACTGACTATCGACCAAAAAGTGATGTCGCCGAGTGAGCAGCACGAGCAGATTGTCGACTGGGCCGGCAGAGTGACACGTCGTGTCCGCTCCTTTCCTCGCAAGGAGATCTGTTCGTCGACGTGGACGACAGCAGCGAGGCGCTGAAGCCTTCCTCGCCCTCGAGACGACCTTCAATGGTGCTTCAGATTGCAAATGAGACAACGGCAACGGCAGCAGTGCGACAGTACGTGCCTAAAATTGAAATCAAACGCACACACGTCGCCAGTTTTTTGTTATCAGCTAGTCATGTTACAACTTTCACTTGAAAAGAGTTAAGTGAATTAGAGTGGCATGCTTTGCGGCACTGATGCGGCTGTTTCAGTTTCTGCAACAGCAGCAGCAGTGCTGTTCCAACGAAGGCAGCTACTACTTCATTTTCATTTTGCATCGATACTTTTATTCGTAAATTGTTCAAGTAGCAATAACAAAATAAATAAATGAGACAAATAAATAAATACAACGGTTGTACTGGTGAGGAAAGATTGTACAGTGAAATGTGTGTGTGTTGGTGTCTGTCAGTGTGAGTGAGAGAGTGGTGTTTATGTAAGTGGTGTGTGGAAGTGAGTGTGTGTGTGTGTTGCAGTGCACAGGCAGAATACCACTTGCTACTGGGCCTGCGGCGGATGCTGCTGCTGCTGCTGACTTGCCACTGCGTCACTGACACGGACATGGTAACCCCGAAGACTGAAGGGCGCACTCGGGAAGTGTACGTCAAATTGCACGGCACAAAATAGTGAGAGAGGGAGAGGGAGAAAATAAATAAGTAGTTGCCAGACATTAATCAGTTTGGGCATTAGCAGCGTCCAGCAGTATAATGATTAATAACAGAGGAGAGGGCTCACTGCTGCACTGAGCGTACTGAAAGCTGTCCAGAGAGGGCTGCTGCTGCTGCTGGCGAACAAAGTGCTGACCAGGGAAGAAGTCAAAGAGGGGTGTACGGAAAATGGTTTGTCCGTGTAAGAGGAAATATTTGTATGTGACCTAAAATGGTAGTGGGAATTGACGACTTTGAGGTAGCGCCTTCACTTGTGGCCAGTCCGACAGTGTTGAACAACAGCAGTCAAGTCTGTACAACAACAACATCGCCGCTTCCGCCGATCAATGGCTCGGAAAACACCGAGTTGACACACCGCTTTGTACTGAAGGAGATAGAGAAAGAGATAGCGAGAAAGTGAGAGAAAGTGAGTGAGATAGGTGGTGTCTTGTGGAGTTGGCTCAACAATGAAAGTGTCTGTGGAAGAGTTTCTTGGTAATAAATCAGTTGTGTGTATAACATTGAATAGTTTTTAGCTTAAAGCTTTTGATTGAGTAGATGAGAAAGAGAAAGACATAACTTGAATCATAAAGAATCTAGTGCAAATTCAATAGTAGTTAAAAGTACAAAAGTGACAAAACATCTTACGTGACATTGAACATTGACTAAAGAGCGACACCGGCAGACACCGATGCTTATTAGTTGCCTTTTATGTAGAACCTTTGAAAAGAGGAAACACCTCCTCAGAGTCAGAAGACTGAAGAGTATCAAGTTTGCTGTATCAAGAACGCCGAACATGACTGAATGACTTGTCCGCCCCCGCTACCGCTGCTTTTTATCGCATGAGTAATGCAAATGGACGAGTGGAGATGCGACTTTGGTGAGTGGCGAGTCGGGTAGAGTGGGTGAAAAAGAAGAAGGAGAAGAGACGGCGGCTAAGAGAAGATGGTGATCACTTCACGGCCGGCGCCGCGAGCTAGAATGACGCGCTCCAGGCCTTCGGTGAGCACCTCAATGAACTCCATGTAGTTAGTCTCACTGCCTGGCGTCATCTTGCGCGGAATGCCCGGCATGTTGATAATGACCAACTTCGCCGCGTGGCTCTTGTTGATGATGTGCTCGTTTAGCTTAACTGCAGTATGCCTACAGAGTGTCCGTCGTCAGTATATTATTTAATTGAAAAATGGTCTGCCATTTTGCAGGTGGCACAGTACTCACATTCGGCGCACGTTTAACTCGTCAGGTTTAATGGAATCGCCTGCATTGATGACGGACAGTTCGTTGCCGAATGACTGCAACACTTGGGTTCGCTGCTCCATCAGCACCGTCCGCTCGTACGTGTACGCGCTCACGTCTGGTGCGAATGGGTGAAAAAAAGTGGAGAAAGAAAAGGGGAAAAGGGAAAAAGAAGGAATGAAACTGGCTGTAGACGTGCAGGTGATGGCCGGCAATGATTACCTGTGTCACTCATCTCGATGACCTCCACGGTGGCTTCAATTCGCAGGTGGTAGAGAAACTTCTCCAGGTCCTTCTTCATCTGCACCGAGTTGTCCTCCAGCTGAGCAACGGTAAAGACGCGCAGTTTACATGAGCGCCATGTTCGGTGCTGCGATAAGACGTAGCCGAGCAGAATTAACTGAATAGGGAAAAAGAGAAACAAATATCTATTTATGAGAATATGCCGCCGAGGGGCACGTGTGTATGTGTGCCGGTGAAGAGTGATGGTGAGACACATACCAGTCCGCCGTCGTGCACAATCCACCAAATGTCGATAGTGCCGCCGAGACGGTCGTTGTTTTCAGGCCACAAATTGAGCCCCTTGGGCACAATTAAGGCGGCATTGGCCGCCGTACAGGAGCGCACCACCGAGAGGAAGCGGTTGTGCTTGTCGCGCGAGGTCGAGTGGCGCCACTTGTGCGGCCAGGCCATCATCACCGTGTTGTGCTTCAGGCCGCCCAGACCGGCCGTCTGCACGATGTGATTCAAGCCCTGGGTGACGTTCCCGGTGATGACCACCTCGGCGAAGCCCTTCACCTTCTCCTTCTCCATGGAGTGGCGGAGTGATTGCTTGGCGGATTGAGCAATGCCCGACTCGCTCTCAAAGTTGCCCTCCAGGACGCTGGCCACGATGGTCAGCCCCTTGCCGGCCTTCAGCTGCGACGCAAAGGTGAGCAGCTTGTGCGCCTTCAGCTCCAGCGTGTCGGGATTCAGCTTCACCAGACAGAGCAGCTGCGGCCGCCAGTTCTTCGTGTGCGGCGGGCCCTCCTCAAGGCGCAGCAGCGAGAAGCGAGCCGCACTGAGCGCCAGACCGCGAATTCCGTCGCCCCACTCCTTCTCGGCGCCTCGGTACTCGATGTACTTGTAGATGAAAGCCGCCAGGCCCATGGCACAGAGCGTGTAGATCCACGATGACAGGAACATGACAAGGAGACAGAGAAAGATGCCGCACAGGGAGATGGACCAGTGGTAGTACTTGAAGCGAGGGCGCCAGTTTGGCGTGCGCAGGAGCGACTGCACGGTGCAGGCCAGGTTGAGAAACATGTAGCACATGAGGAAGAACATGGTGAGCACTGGGGCGATGAAATCCAGATTTCCGATCACTGGCAATGGGACAAGAACACAGTGGCAACACAAGTCAGTAATTAGTGGGTGATGAAAGGAGGAAATGGCAAAAACAATGCGTGTCATGTCGTGTGTAATGCATCTATCGACACTTCAGACAACTTACAGATGGCAATTTCGGCGATAACCAGCGAGACGGCAATGGCACGTACTGGCTCGCCGCGCTTATTCACATGCTGCAGTGGCTCGAGGAATGGAATGATTCCGTCTTTGGCAATGGCCTGCAGCAGTCGAGGCGCGCCGACCAGGGACTGCAGTGAAGCACCGAAGGTGGACAGAAGGGCGCCCACCAGGATCACCATCGGGTGAGGCCAGGAGATGAGTGTGACCTGCAGAGAGTGAGAGTGACGGCGATGATGAAAATAGATGTTTATTATGGTTAGGGGAGCACTCGGTGACAGCGAAAGCAACGTCGAGAGAATGGGCGCCATCGCCATCGTCGCTCACTGACACAACAACAGCAGCAGCGGCAGCTCTACTTACCGCTAATTCCTTTCCCAGCGACTCGCCAAATTTATCACGAATGAAGAGGGGATTGAAGGACGCGCCAAAAAGCAAAATGACGGAAAGATATACGAAGCTAGTGGTGAGCTGAGCCGCCAGTGTTCCCAGAGGAATGGCCTTCTGTGCGTCCGCCAGGTCGCCGCTTCGGTTGCTGCCTGCGAGAATGCCGGTGCACGATGGAAAGTAGATGGACACTAGAACGGCAAAGGAGGACGTGATGTCCACGAATATATAGTTGAACTGCGACAGATAGGACTTGTCCACGTGATATTTGCCGTTGTCCAGACTGACGAGATCATCCTTGTCGCGAAACTTGGGCATAAAGTTCTTCCAGAAGGCGCCCGAGGCGAGACCAGGAATGGCCAGTTCTTCTCTGATTTCCCCTTTGTTTTCATTGTAAAAGTCAACACAGCCAGCTGTGCCGTTGATGTTGCAGAAAAACTGGGCTAGTCCTTCAGGAGTACAGGTGATGTTATTTTTGTTCGACAAGACACGGTCTCCAATGGTGCAAATTTTGTATTTGTTGACGCCTGGCAATGAAAGGAAAAAGCAATTTAAAAAGTTGCTCTACAGTTTTTGTTTCTCCATTCTCTTATATTCCTACCATTGTAATTGATAAAAATGCCTAGGTATATGCTGAAGATGGAAATTAGCACACAAATGAGCGCGATGGGTGCAAATTTGGACACAAATTTTACGCCGATAAAGACCAGGATGCCGATGATGATCAAAAAGATGGTTCCGTAAACGCGAATGTTGTGATAGAGAATATCTTTGTCGGCTTCAAAATCTCCGAAAAGGGCGATTTCCGGTGAAATGTAATTGAGCAATATTTCGACAGCACCTGTGATGTACATCTACATACATGACAGAACGGCGGAAAAAAGCGTGAGAAAAGGAAGAGGCGGAGAGAGAGTAGAAAACAGATAGTGAAAGAGTAAAGTAAAGAAAAGGGCACTGATTCAAAGGAAGGAAGAAGGGAGGAGAATAGTTGCACAGATTGGCCTACGCACACAAACACTAAGATTAGATGTTCCCGGAGTTTTCTGTTCTTGGGTACAGTTCCTTTGCCGCGCTCTAAGGCTAAGTAGTTTGGCAAACAGCTTCCGAGAAGAGTGTACAGACACAATATGAAAAACCACAGCGAATTGCTCTAAATGAGCAAATAAACGTCAACAGAAAGTGCCTCGGCAAAACGGTCGTGCAAGAGTAATAAAAGTTAATTGGAAAGCAGATCATTGGGAGTTGAGGATTAGAACTGACTGCAGCTTTTGTCTGCTGCAGTGAGAACCTGCTGCCTAGCAGCCCCCAAACTAACTAAGCGAATTAACTTTCCGTTTAAACGTCTACGTAATAATTTAGTTAGTCAATTAAATGGTTGCCAGCAAGTGGCCGACTGACTGTGCGACGGGCGACGGCAAGGACCGCTTGACATCTCAATAAACAAACGAGGCAACTTTAATTAATCGGTGCAATACGAGTGAGTTACGCACACAGTAGTGTGCCTGATACTGTGCACGGAGAAGAAGAGTCTTGGAGTACCCAGTGCGACTGACAATCAAGACAGACAATTCAATTGCACTGGGCAGCAAACGAGGGCTGCAAAACAGTGCACTGCTGCTACGTAATCAGTCCTATCCCGCCCTCCTCCTAATTAAAGGCGCCAGTGGCAATTAATACAAGTGCTCTCTCCGCCGTCGAGGATGGCAAATAGAATTAGCTTGAGCCAATAAAGATAGCCTGCCAATCGATCATCAGGCTGCAAGAAGGGGCTCATGCTCGAGAAAGAGAAAGCACTGACTAAGTGTAATGTGCCGGGCACCGACTAGTCACTGTCTTGTTCATATCAGTCCAACTGAGGTCTCACCCACAACCTGATCTGCACTTGTCTGAAACAGACTTGCTACTGAAATGACCGTCTGCTTGAGTTTTCATTTGCACAAAAAAGGGCTAGTTGGCACAGTGAGCTAGACTCTCAAATAACAGGATAGCTTCAATTGAAATGCACTTTGAGTGGCACTGAGCTAGAGCAATCGATCTCGATTGCCTTAGCTCAATTGCTAATTAATGTTTCTCAATGACTAACTGATCCTGCCCTTTTTATTTATTCATAAAAGCGGCAGAAAAAAATGAGCAGCAATCACAAAAAACAGAAAAAAATGTTTTTGAAAATTACAAGAACAGAGAGGAAAAGGAAAGGGAACGGGAAATAGGTAGTAGTAACAAACAAGGGTACTTACAGCACCAGCGACGCAAGTGCCCATAAAGAAGAGAATACCAACAGCGCCGCCAAATTCCGGACCTAAAGTTCGCGATATCATAAAGTAAGAGCCACCTGCTGGTACGATTCCGTTAGTGGCGACGGCGCTCAGTGAGATGGACTGTGAAAAATGGTATAGAAGAGAAGAAAGAGGGAAGGGAGGGAGGGAGGTAGGAAGGAGATGAAAAAAAAGAAAACATTAAGTTAATTTAAATGCAAATGCAAAAAGCAGAAGAAGTGGTACAGAGGAAGCGTTGCCGTGGCGCAAGTTAATTGTGGGCTTATGAATAATTCTCCAGCATATTGCAAGCGTATGCGCCTTTGTACACAACTATAACTAAGGCTGTTTCATAAAAAAGGCAGCCCAGGCGGTAATCCAGGGGCTTTCAGATGCACAGCTGCCTGCATGCCAACAAACAATAAGTGCGGCGTGCTGATACTCACAGTAGTAGTAGTAGTAGTAGCCTTTCAATTTGCTGGCCAACTGCCTCAAAGTGAGATCGATCGGGAGCAATGTACTGGGCAATTTCTGAAACAGCGAAACGCTGCTTCAATGCACTTTGATCAATATGACTGACATGCACAAGCTCGGCCAACTAATTAGCCATTTTTTCCAGAAAAGAAGAACAAGCAGAGTACAGAAAATAAGGTAAATCAATACAGCATATGAACGGCAATTTTGCCAGCATGAGGTACAACACACACTCACCGCACTAACCGGTGGAACTGTGTCAGAGTCAGTGCAGTGGAGTATCGACTTCAGACTACCAGCCAAAGTATGTTTGACTGCATGTTTCAACAAGCCAATGTCTACCACAAAGGGTACCAAAGGCAGGAAAAGTGACTGTAACGGGAGAACCATTAGCCACAAAGTTCGATCCAGTAGCAGCAGTGAACACGGAAACACACACACAAAGACACAGACCTGGTGCACCTGTGTCCGTGCGCGCGTGTGTGTAATGAACGATAAAAGAAAGTGAGTGAAAGAGTATAATATGCCCGATAGGTAAACAAGAGAAATGCCGATACGGTCCAGATAAAGGACATGCTGGGGGAAACCGCAAATGTGAGCGAATTCTAGCTGCCTACATTCATTCATTCTTTTCACTCAGCATCAATGCCAATTTGGCTGCAGACACTTTGCGCGCATAATTTGCCTAATGGGTGCACTACTTTTTCTGCTTGAGATGGCACACGTCGAGTCGCAGCAGAGCCAGGTGACAAGGCAAGTGCAGCCTAGTGTCACTGCCAGAACACTGAACACCTCAAAGTGACACATTTCACTGTGAAAAGGAGAGTAATAATAGAGGTGGAAGTAGTAGAAGAAGAAGTAGTGGTAGTTGTACAAAAGTGCGCTCATTATTATGATAGTACATTGTAGGTTGGTTGGCTGGCTGGCCAGTCATCACAGCAGAGACACTCCGAAACTCGTCATCGGCCAGCAATTAACACATCTTCCAGTTTGAGTCTGTCACAGGCAGGCGGAGAAAGAGAATCCATTGAATTTGGCCACTATCAATCATGGCAGACAAAGGTGCATAAGTGGTGCATGCTAATGTGCTACAATTCAATTAGTATATCAACGCCACTAATGAGAGCACAAATGGAGGCTAGTCTGTCTTTTTCTATCACTGTCTGTCTGACTATCTGTTTGTCTGNTTTTCTATCACTGTCTGTCTGACTGTCTGTCTGACTGTCTGTCTGTCTGTCTGAATTTCTGCCCGTTTTTTTGAGAGCTTGACTGCAAATGGGCCTTCCNGTCTGTCTGTCTGTCTGAATTTCTGCCCGTCCTTTTGAGTGCTTGACTGCAAGTGGGCCTTCTTTCCGACACAGTCTGGAATCGTCTTTCTGAGCACACAGCCACCCAACGCACGTTACACAAGTTTGCTCAAAATGAGTGCAGGGCACCAATTAGGCGGCCTAATCAGAGGCAGCTGCTGGATCGAATGACAGCTTAGATCGCTGCCCGGTAAAAAGGGAACAAACCCGTTTGTCAGCACAGTGCAACTGCAGCTGACTCCACTGCTGCCCGCCACCAGTGATGATGGTGATGATACAGTGCAAGTGGAGACCAGTGAATAATAAGGCAAATAAATATACTGCTTCAATTAGCGGGCTAAGAGTTGACCGGGCAGTTGTGTGAGCTTGTAGAGGAAGCATCTTAGCTTAGCTTAGCTAGGCAGAGTGCACCACTGCACAGAAGAGAGACTCTATCAGCAAGAGCATCATCATCAGAATCAGCTTCAGCCGAGCAAGACTGGAGAGCACGTCGACAATGTCGAGTCATCAGTTTAGGGCGGCTGGATGTTCGCTGTCCTGCCAAGTCGGTGTCAATTAATGGCCATTGAAGCAATAATTGCATTAGGCAGCTGTCGTGCACTGCCCAAATGAATCACGACCACAAGCTGAGCTGAGGCACGGCAGAGAGAGCCGTGGAGAGAGCTGCCGAAGTGCAGCAAAGCGGCACAGGCCATGTCGACACCGCCGCCGACATTGCCGCCAATCAATGGAGGAGGCAGTGCTGGGAAATGCACTGCAGTGAAGCGCGCCTTGACCCACACAACTGTAGGCCATGTCTGGGAAGGCTAACAAAGAAAAGTGCTAGACAGAAAATCTTTCTTTTTTGACTTTGCTGCTGCTAATGTTTATTTGTTGAAAAATATTTTGTTTTTTAAAAACGCATATTTAAGTAAAAGAGAGGCAAAAAGGCAATAAATGATAAATTGAAAATTCCAAACTTAATGCGCTACAAAGGCAGTAACATAGCCGTAACTTTTTTGCCGTTATTTGCTTTGTAAAATCAAATATTCTAAAACTACAAACGGAAAAAATGGATTGGAACAACAAAAAGTATATTCTTTTACAAACTCTATCGACAAAACATAATAAAACTTTTTGAAAACAACACAAAAATTGTTAGTGCTGCTTTAAATTGAAAAGTCCGCTTCTTGGATTCATTTGAGTTTGATCGTTAAAAGTTGTACTGCTATTGTCTACTTTAGAAGTGTTGATTGCAAAACACTACTAATGCAGATGGTGTGAAACGTTTCAATTGGTTAACGACAAAAGCAAAAAAAAGTTAGCACGCTCGATTGTGATCTGAAGCAAACTCAGCAGCAGTGCAATCAGCAGAGGAGCACGGAAATTGGCAGCTCAGTGACAATTGCCTGAGAGATAACTACTGAAAACTTTTGCCAATCACTGGTGTGTGTGCGTGTGTGTGTCTGTGCAAGTGTGAGGCTGGCCCAGCAATTCTTTAAATCTAATCGACACAAAGTGGCCCTGCAATAGCACACTATTGATCCGATTTGAAAAGTATAATAAAATGTGCTTGGTGCAAAAGTGGCCTGATGAAGACAATGATCGGCAAAATGAATTGTTGAGTTAAGCCTGCACTTTGACATTTAATTTATTAAATTTTTAAGCTAACTTGCGCGCTAATAAATTACTTTTTCACTACAAAGCGCCTCAAAACTAATTAGTTTAATAAAGAGGGCAACGCAAAAAAAGAAGAAAAAAATTAAACTAACAATTTTCTCAGTTCAAAAGGTGCAAACAGTAAGCAAAATAGGAAAAGAAGAAGAAGAAAAGGAGGAGGCCCTGCCAATTTGCTTCCAAGCAACGGGCAAAAAAGTTGAAGCGTAGGAGAAGAAAGAAGTAAAAGTCAACAGTGAAGCAAATGAGAATGCAGTAGTCAAATGAATGATTTAACGTAAACACTGTCTGACTGGCCGGGTACAGGCCGGGTGCACTGTTCTTTCGGTGCAATGGTGTTCTCCCTTCGAGTCCTCAGTTTGCCAACCAGTCTGTCTCCCAGCCACAATTGCATTCATAGCCTCGGTGAAAACTGCGTTTGCTGCTGCTTCGTCTGTTCAATTCAATTATCACTTAGCCAGACGCCGATTCTGCTCGAGATAACAACAAAAGTAGTCGTCGACAACAAGAGAGAGTGGGTAGAGTGAGAATGAGAATGAACAGAAATGGCGTTGGTGCTTGCCACTTCAAAGGGAGCTCTCGTCCTTTCCAGTGACTGCTCCAACGAATAACATCGCTTCAATGGCGCCATTGCCAGCACTTCCAAGGACAATTGCAATCACGGAGGAAAAGGCGACCGAAGAGTCAATTGAGCGCAATTAGGGACGGCGACAAAGTGGGAGGCCATTAGGCCTGACACAGAGACCCAACAGACACAGAGAGGCCGATGTACCATTGTCACCTCCTCGAGGAAACACCAACTGCACTGTCGCACTTTTCAGTCCTCAAAGCGCCCCTTTTCACCGAGTGCAGCAGTAATGCTAATCGGAAATAAAGGCGCTCCTGATGGCACACAAGTGTCAGGAGAGACGACGGGCATGCAGAAGGAGAACGAGAGAGAGAGAGAGATAGAGTGAGTGGCGAGAGGTCCAATTTGGGGCATTATTGCCAATCGGGGCTCCAATTGGTCTGGAAGCCGTAAAGCATTAATCATGCAGTCACAATAGACTGTGCTGCAATGCACTGGCTAAATCTGCTTTTCATTCTCTTCTCGGTGCAAAGAAGGAGGAGAACGAAGAGGAGGAAGATACCAAAGGAAGAAAAGAAACGCAAAGTGAAAGTGAGAGCAGATCGTTGAGACGAAGGCGCGCGCGCTTTTGGCCTATTGTTGCAATGGGCAAACAATAACATTGCCGAATAGCCGAATTGTGAGTGAGCCAATTTATGATGCGCTCGCATTAGCATATAGATTTGTCTACAAGCCCATCACCGCCTAGCAAACATTAAATGAAGCTGTTCTGACCGAGCAAGAACAACAGCAAACATTGCAGCAGCAGCAGCAGCAGCAGTGCAGTTGCCAGTTTCGAGTTGAGTTTCGGAAATGTTGAAAGGACAGCAAACATAGAGAGAGGGGAAAGACAGAGTGCAGAGCCAGTGGAGAGGACACACAGCACCGAAGAGTAGTGCACACCCAACTGCGTGCCATCTCCGCAGTGACGCATAGACGGAGGAGCTAGGGGCGCCTAATTGCTCGCCGGACGCCAACTTCAGCTTCAGCTCCAGCACAAACTGACGCCACTTGGCGCCAGCAACGACAGCAGCCACTATGCGAGCCAAGTCCAGTGCAATTAATAGCCGATTAGAAGTGAGCAGTGCTGACTGGCTGGCTCACTGGCTCACTGGCGGCAACGGAAAGACTGACCACTCGGTGGTATCGGTGGTGGCAAGCAAGCAAGCAAGCAACAACAACGACCCCCAAGACAATAGCACCGCCAAAGTTGTGTCTGTCTGCAGTTTGCTTCTCAAACTTTGCCTCCTCAATGACTGGGCAATAACTTAATAATAATGGACAAAGTTAACTGAACAGTATTGGCGCAGAGAAATGCCAATAGAGAAGGAGGAAGGAGGAAGGAAAGGAGAAGAGCGGTAACTGAAGAAGAACGGTGCACTTTTAATTGGCGTAGCGGCTAAAATGGCACGGCCATGACTCTTTAGACCTGCAGGAGCGGCAATGGATGATAAATTAAAAATTCCTAACAGCAAAACACCACTGGCAATGGCCAACAATGAAGGCAGCCAATATGGCCAAAATTGATTAAAAGGAAAAGTAGAGTTCAAATGAAAATGGACTGTTTTAGTGAATGAGCCAAATTAAGAATGGAAATGACATTTGCAAGATAGAGATGGAATCGATTGGTGCATGCACCGAAGGCCGACAGTAGAAGTCATCAGCGCTAGTGCAGTCTGCTGTCGAATGGCCGATTCAATTTGGGCCAAGATTGGCCTGTCAGCTAATGAGCTAGCAAACACTAGACGGCAAGCGGACAATTAAAAAGTGCCATGCCAATCAGACTAATGCATGCAGCATGAACAAAGTTGTTTCGGCGTGGCGACAATGGCAGGGGCAGAAGCGGCAGTGAGCAGTGTGTGCAGTGTGCCGACTTTGCTGAGACTCTGCCGAGACTCTGTCGAGAGTGAGAGGAGAGGGAGGAGGAGGCCAGGCGAGGCAGAAAGGGCTGATGAAAAGCCTTGATGGAAAACAGGCAAAAATCGGCTGCATTAAACGACTCAACACACACACACACACTAAAGCACACAACCAGCTCATAGTCACCAGCTTTCGATTGGCTGTTCGTGCTGCCTAGCCACAGTGCTGTTCACTGTGTCCCTAAAAGAGTGATTAATGCATGCAGCAGCAGCAGCAATCGGTGCTAATGATCACATGGCCTCCAATGCACCTGTGCTGAACCAGAGAACAGACTGCTGCTGCTGCTACAAGACACCGCACACAAATTGGCCATGCAAAGCAACCGATCAGGCTAGTAGAGGGGGAAGGAAGTAGAGGAAGAAGAAAAAAGAAGAAAAAGAAAGAGAGAAAAAAGAAGAAGAGAAAAAACTGCAACTGTTCTACATATTTGCCCGAGCCGATAAGCAATTAATTGAGGGCGAAAGTGGCAGCGGCAGGGCAAAAAGCGCACAGTCATTAGAAGAGTACAAAGCTTGTAATGGCGGTGAAATTGACTTGGTTCTACTTGCTGTAAGTCTCTGTGTGACTATCTGTGTAATGTATGTTGCCATTTTGTCATATTGTATAATGTGCAGAATTTGGGTACATTGATTAGAAGATGCCAGCGGTGGCAGTACCACACGACGACAGTGGTATTTGTGGTGATGGTGCTGCAGTAGCATTCGTGGTCGTCGTCGTGGTCTGATCGACATTTGCCGAAATCAGCTGCCCGAGCAATTTTTTAGTGCTCTCTCTCTCTCTCTCTCTCTCTCGGTTCTGATTGAATATTTGCACAAGCAATAAAGCACTAGTGATGAATGCCTTGGCAGCAGCAGACAGGGCTGCCAATAAGACCGAGTGTGTCGCTCGGCCAGACACAAAAAGTGAAAGGCAAAATGAAAGTGAATGAGAGAGGGAAAACTGAGAGTAAGAGCGATCCAGAGTGGGCGAGATTGGGCACCACTCAAGAGGACTGGCGCGTTCGCCAAACAGGCCAGACAGCGGCGGTGATGGTGGTGGTTGTGGAAGTTTGCAAGGAAGCGTGTTCAAAGTGGATGCAAGGCGACGAGCAATGAATTATTTAAGCAAACAGCAGCAAAAGAGAAAAGAATGGAAATAACATAGGACAGCAGCAACAGCATCTCAGTGGCTCCTGCTGCATCATCAGCAGGAGCTTTTGTACGGTGCAGTGGCAGTAGTAGTGAGGGCATAGGAAAGACAGCAGAAGGTGTAATCTAATTTGCCAGTGACATCGATCAGGCAGATCGGCGCAGCAGTACTAATTTGATTGGCAATGCCTGCACTGCCTAGCAAGAATGCTGTGCAAAAGTGGCTTTCAACGATTAGACTGTGACCATTAACAGCAGCAAATCACGTTAAGTTGCCAAGTTGGAAAATAAGCAAATCAAAATGGACGTTGGCACTACGGGGTAATTCAATTAGGCGCGCAGGCCACTCGGGCCATTCAGGCAGATCGGCAGGCAGGCACATTGACTGACCGCCGTGTGTCGCCGTGTGGACAACACTTTTGCCGACTAATGCAGATGATGACGGTGGTGGTGGTCCCTTTTTGTTTGTTCACTTACCGTGCAGAATGTGACAGCGCAGCAGAGGAAGACGATGGCGAAGAAGGCAGGTATGCCCGCCGTTCCAGTCATCCACGACATTCGAATGAAGATGATCACGCCGAAGATGTTCTGAATGCAGGGCAAGTAGACGCCCGTCAAGGCGCCTAGATTCGCCTTCGCCTTTGGCTTTGGCCGGGCGCCGCCGTTCTCCGCTCCCGGAGCGCCGGGCTCCACTTCCACCGGCTGAATGGCATCATCGTAATTGGCCAAGCGAGAGAGCAATGAGGAGACTCGTTTGTCTTCATCTTCACTAAAGAGAAACATCTGATTTCGGTCGTAGAGGCTTTGTTCGTTTTCATCTGTAAGACATTGAGAGAGAGAGAGAGAGGGAGGGAGGAAAGAGAAAGCAGACACAGTTAATCGCGTGCAATCTACAAAAAGTGTGTATTTGTGTGTGTAAATGTGTGTGTCTTTCTTTCTGAGTTAGTCTTGGAAGCACTTTCCATGAAGGAAAGAAAAAGTGAATGCACACTGCTCGGCAATACAGTCTGCAGATGATAATCAAATAAATAATACAAGCAAACTTTGGACTGCACAAGCTCGTAAAGCTACGCAAGTGGAACCTTCGCCGAGTAAATGACAAAGGCGGTAATGGCAAAGTAATGGGAACGACAGCAATTTAGCTTAAATTAAAGTGCACAAACTAAATTAGGTCCTTTCAATTGGTAAACTTTAAATGTATGTATGCGTGTAAGTGTGTGTGTGTGCTTGCGTGCAAATGAGTGTAAAGAGTGAGTAAAAGTGAAAATAGAAACCTTCTTCGGATGGAAGGGAGACAATGAAGGGTGACACTGCCGAGGTGTCCACGTCTTCGATGCTCTTAATCACAATGACGCCCCCGCCGTCGCCGTCGCCGTCGCCGTCGTCGGCGCCTCCGGCACCGCTGTTCGGCTCTTCCTTCATGGAGCCCTCGTGAACGGCACTCACTTCAAATTTGGGCAAGTTCCTGGAACCACTGCTCGGAGGTGAGGCTGCCGAGGAGGCCTGTGAATCAGTTCGAACTTGATCCATCAAATCAGAGCAGGTAATGGCCCTATATCAGACCATGCGGTGCCAATGCAGCAAATGGTCTACTGCACAGTGGAGGAAGAAGAAGCGAAGCGACCTGACGACCAAAGACGGCGGCAGAAGTGAGAGCAGGACCTCAGCATTACTTGCAGGCCTCGCCGAGAAAACGATGACAAATCGCGCATTCAGCACAGATAACGACCAGAGCAATGCAATGGACAGGCAATATAGCGAACGAGTGTTGGTGTTGGTGGTGGTGGATGTTGTGAATGCTGGGTAAAGCTGTGGTCTATGCAAATTGCTTCGGCGACCGCAGAATGCTGGCAAGTGTGCAAGTGCCGAGTTGAGCAGGCGAAACAAAGGCGGCCTTCAGGTGACACTTTTGCTGAAGATAAATGAACACAAGTGCTGGGGAATTTATGGCGGCGGTAGAAGAAAGAAGTAAAGGAGAAAGAAGGAGGAGGGGGAAAGAGCAAGAGAAGAGAAGAAGAAAAAGAAGAACCACTAGCGACAAGAACGATAAGGGACTGGTGGCTTGAGCAGGATGCTTATAAGAGAAGGAGTATAAAGAAAGAGAGAAAGAGTTGAGCAGGGACTGGACAGAGGATGGAGCGGGTGGGGATGAGATAGAAGGTTGAAAAGAAAGAGAAAGAGGTGAAGGTGATGGTCAAAGTGGTCACACGGGTAGATTCTGCAGCACTTCGGGTAGTGCACCGATATTCTCTGCTTCAAATGAGCGGCACTGGGGTGAGGAGGCCGGTCTTGTACTGCCGTTTCCGCTGGAAGATTGAGTGATGAAGGCTTCTGCTGACAAGAAGAGGTGACAGCGGAAAGAGCAAACGGCGGCGCCGGCTAATGATTACGAGGTGAAGTGAAAGACTTAAATGGGCCGATGAAGATTGGGACGGTACACACACGGAACCACAGCCCATAAGACGGGATTAGGCTCGATTAGGCGGTCTTGAGACGGTGAGCTGTCAAGTCAGGCGAGTAGTCGCAATTTGCATCAGCAATTGTCAAGTGGCAAACACATACAAGGAGAAAGAGAAGACACCGACAGAAGAAGACAGTGTGCCGACAATGTGCTTGCTGCAGCCGACAGAAGAGAAGTAGTGCTGAACGAAGAAGTCGGCGAAAATAGAGACGGTAATAGAAGAAGACGAAAGAAGAAGAAGAAGAAAAGGAATCGGGTGACACGAGCCTGTCTCTGCGCACAGTGGCACCGTGAAAGAGAGAGAGAGACTACCGGAGAGAGAAAAGGGAACGCTCCTGGAACAGGGCACTGTCGCCACTGCCGTCGTGCTTGATCAAGTGAACGACAACAACAACAATAACAACAACAATAACAATGGAAGAGATGAAGTAAGCAATCAAAGGTGAGGTGCAATGAATTAATGAAGTCGGTGAAGTCACTGCCACGGCCCCGGCTCGCCTACCATCGCCCACTGAACGCCACTCTCCGTCTTCCTCATCTGGTCCGGACAGGTGCAGCTGAAGGTGTTGGTGTTGACGGTGGTCGGCGTACACAACACAACAGACACACCAGCCACTGCCAGGGCTGTCAGGGCTGCACTCTGAGCGCACACTGCTTCCGAGCCGAGTGACTGCTGCTCTGGCTCAGGCCAACTGCTGTGCCGCCAAGTCGACAAGGAGACGACGAAAGTGAACGCGAAGGGGTGAAAGAGCGCTGGTGGTGGTGGTGGTGGTGGTGGTGGTGGTGGCAAGGCGAAAAACAAGGAGGAGGCCGCTGCCGTTGCCGCTGCTTCGCGTCCAAGTCGGCGTCGATCTTGCTACAGTGCAGCTGATGCTGCTGCTGCTGCTGATGCTTCTGCTGGCAGTGTACGACCGATGCGCGCACAGCTGCCAGAACTTGAGAATGGCAGCCAGCGAATGACTAGACAGATTCACCCGACTACTCGCACTGGGCACAGAATACCGAAGAATGGAAGGCATGCGAACCGACGAGGAGAGAGAGAGAGAGAAAGCGGGAGAAAATGAGAGAGAGAAAGGAGTCGTACTGCTAGTGGCAACGACCAGAGAGAAAGTGCACCAAAGAGAACTGAAAACCACCGATGCTGGGAGGTGGCAGCTTTGTACGGTGGTGATGATGAAGCTGACAGGGCACTGGAAGGAGCAAACGAGAGCTCAGTTTAAAAATAAAGAGTCTCATGTGTGTGTGAGCGAGTGTGTGTGTACGCCTGCAATCGTCAGAACTGCTGCAGACGCCGAGATCGCAGCGGCAGCAGTAGCAGAAGTACCGAACCAGAGCCAGTGCGACACGTTCTGGTAATCGCGGAATCGTTGGTGATGCTCACCACCACCACCGCCGCCACTGCTGCTGCCCAGCAAGCGCCTGCTCCTTCGAATCTCCCTGTTTTCCTCCGCCTGTCTATATGGCCGCGTGGCTTCCAGTGGAGGCCATGTGGAGTGCTGCATGTCCTCCTACTCCTCCTGCTCCTGCTGCTGCTGCTAAAGACAGGGCACACACGATCGGGTCTATATATACTGCCGAAACAGACAAAGTCAGTCGGAGTTGGACTTTCTTGCTTGTCTGCCTCACTGCCTGCCGCCTGCCAGCCAGCCAGTTTGGTCTCCGTTTGAGTTCTGGAGAGAGACCAGAAAGAAGTAGAGGGAGATATGGGCGAGTGCAGAGTGGCAACATGACGGCCAGTAGTTGCAGCAGCAGCAACGGCAGCAGCCTTTTTGGGTTGGCAGTGCCGCTAGCGCCTGGATTGCCACATGCAGCTCGGGCAACTGCTCAAGCAAACCGACTGAAATCGACGAGAAAGAGCGGCAGAAATCAAAAGGAAAACAGCAACTGTGCCCCAGCAGAGAGTTAAGTTGAGCCACAGAGCCAGTTGAGGCCAGCGACTGAAGGGCCCGATCTAGTATCGCTTTTCGTTTTCTTTTGCCTCTTCTTCTTCTTCTTCTTCTTCTTCTTCTTCACCATGTAATGCGCTCTGTGCAGCCCAAATGCAATGTCATTAATAATGCTGATAAAAGTATCGGCATTAATTCGCCAACTGCAAGACTGTGCTGTGGACTACTGAGAAAATGGAGAAATAGAAAAAGAGAGAAAACCAAAGAAAGCGTAATGGGTAGACGAAGTGAGCCGCGCCGAATGATCACGAGGCACTTCAAGCAAGCAAAGACATCTCCATTGGGGCCGTTTCCATTGCGCCATCTGAGAAAGTGTTTGACTCCTTTTCCCTTCTCTTTTTCTCAATGTCTGCGCCGGGCACAATGGCGCCCAGGCCATGCATTGCTGATGTCGGCAGTCGAACGTCAAGTCAGTGAACGGTCTTGACGGTCGAAGCTTTCACAAGTTGTCTTGGCTAATTAAGTGTATCGCACTGATGATTGCACTGCAAAGGGCGAGCTGGGCTCCGAAGGAGGGCAAAGTCAGTTTTCTCCTTTCTTCTTTTTCTTCTTCTTTTTTTCTTGTTCTTTTCTTTTTCGTTAAATTCTGTGCACACATCCTTTCCTCTGGTGCCTTGCTAAAACATCGACACGAATATTAAAAATTAAAGGGCAATCAATCTTGCTGCAGCAAAGATGAGTTTTGTAACTAAGTGACAATCGACCATTTGTGCGGCAACACATGCCAAGCGAAATGATTCTGATGCTGCTGCTGCTGCCCCTGCTGGTGCTCTCCAGGCCGTGGCCACTACACATCTTCAGCCGCTCAACGGCCAATGGCAAAAGCGATGCCGAGCAGAGGCTCGCTCAGTGGCGCTTGCTTATCTGCCTCAATCGATAGGCATCGTCAATCGAAGTTGCTATCAAGTCAGTGATCTTCTTCTCTGTCAGTGTGTGTGCAGTTATTTTTTTCTTCATCTTCAAGCTATATGTGTGGCTCGGCCTCGGTCGAAGTTGCGGTGGTGGTGGTGGTGGTGACCATCGCCACCTGCACTGCAACATCACGACAACGACCACCAAAGCGAGCCATCGGGGACGGGAAAAGTGCTTTGCGTGCCAAGAGAGGAAGAGGAATAAGAAGATGAAAACGAACCACCAGAAAAGGAAATCTTGCCGGGACAGAGCGCAATGGTCTTTTCAAGTCGCCATATACACACACACACTCACACACAGCAAAGCGTCGGCGGGCAATGAAAAAGAACCAAAGCAGTTGGTCGGCGTCTGCTTCACTTTGGTTCGGAGTGTTTTGTCAGAGACAAGTAACGTCACTTTAACGGCCTCATCCGAAACCCAGTCGCTTGGCCGAGAAGAATACGCTTTGCGCTTGAAGTAAAAGT